CGTAACCAACTGCTTTTCTCATGCTGCTTTTAAGATTCTCTCTTTGTCTTTAACTTTTTGCATTTTAATTATGATGCTTCTTGGTGTGGGCCTCTTTGGGTTCATCTTGTTGGGGACCCTCTGCACTTCCTGAACTTGTATGTCTATTTCCTTCACCAGGTTAAGGAAGTTTCTATCATTATTTTTTCAAATAGGTTTTCAATTTCTTGCTCTTTTCCTTCCCCGTGATACAAATGTTGGTATGCTTAAAGTTGTCCCAGAGACTCCTTACACTATCTTCATGTTTTTGGATTCCTTTTTCTTTTTGCTGTTCTGATTGGGTGTTTTTTGCTTCCTTATATTCCAAATCACTGATTTGATTCTCAACTTCTAATCTGTTGATTCCCTGTAAATTCTTCATTTCAGTTAGTGTAGCCTTCATTTCTGACTGGTCCTTTTTGGTGGTTTCTATGTCCTTTTTCATGCTGTTGAAGTTCTCATTAAGGATGCTTTTGCATCCTTATAGCCGTTGTTTTGAACTCTGTATCAGGTAGTTTGCTTGCCCCCATTTAATTTAGTTCTTTTGCTGGTGATTTGTCTTGTTCTTTCATTTGGGACCTGTTTCTTTGCCTCTGCGTTTTGACTGTTTCCCTAAGTTTGTTTCTATGTATTAGATAGAGCTGCTGTGTCTTCTGGACTTGGTAGGTAGAGTAGTCTTATGTAGTAGGTGTCCTGTAGGGCCCAGTGGCACAGCCTCCCCAGTCACCTGAGCTGGGTACTTCAGGCGTGGTCCCTGTGTGGGCTGTGTGCACTGTCCTGTTGTAGTTGAGCCTTGATTGCTGTTGGTATCACTGGGAGTGATAAACAGACTTCTTAATATATTGAGCTTTATCCCAAATAATCCACCTTTACTTCTCAGGTAGAAATTATTTTTAGATGTGTTCTCATGGATAATTGGCTCAGTTTTATTTAGAATAATAGTCTATGGTGTGAACAGAATGTACGTGTGACTGTTCTATTAAAGCAAGATGAAGCAAGGTAGCTTGGGGGTGAGCTGGCCTGAGCTGTCAGAACCTTTCCCATCCAGGCCAGTCTGGCCTTTCGTCCCTGGGATTGTGATTCTGCCCCACATTGCCATTTACAGGCTCCATGCACACTGAGGGTGTGACTTCATCACACTCCCTTCCCTTGTGATTGTGAGCCATTTAAACCAGACTCTGGGATTGTGTTGAGATCCAGATGCTGAGGCTGGACTGTTGAATGGATTGGGCCTGCTGCCAGTTCAGGCCTCTTACCCACTCCCTCCAGTCGAGCCATAGGGCCCCTCATGATGGGGGTGGCATCTGTAGAAGGGCTCCTCATCTATCTACCCATTCATGGGCAGAGGTGCCAGCGCATTGCAGGCCCCCGGGGTGGAGCCTGCCTGCTCAGGTGCCGCTTAGAGAAGCCCAGAGTGCAGCTCACTGTAGGCGGGCCCAGTGAGAGAGTGCTTGAAGCTACCCGGCACCTTTGCTGAGTTTCACTGATGAGAGAAGAAGAGGAGGAATGCAAGGAAGAAGCGCAGAAGGCTTTTGTCAGCCTTTCTAATATGAGCAATTCCGATTCATGTGTCAAGGTAGGAATGCTTATGGAGCGGAAGCTGTGTCCATCTGTATCACCTACTATAAAATAGCACTCCTTCCATCGCCTCTCTCCTGAAATCCCAAATCCAGGCGAATTCTTTGCCATTCCCTGGCCATGCCCTGTGGTTAGAGTGAAGCCACACCCAGCATGCACATGATATTCCAGGGAGTGGGTGACTCTGGTGACTAATTTTTATCATCACAAGACATCAGACCGGGTCCCTCGGGACACCCTCCTTGCGGTTAGCTCATTATGGCACTGGACAGCAGCGTGTAAAGGGGGCATTGCTGAGCAAAAGATTGTCTGCCATATGTTTGTACAGCTGATATAAACCTAAACACAGGGTTTTGCAGCTGATTGGAAACTGCTCAGTGGAGCACCGTCATCGTGAGATGGCAGGGTTATATTCTCCCCCCACACAGTTCCTCCTGGTTTTGCAAAAGTTTGTTGTTGTTCGTGAGGAGAATTCAGATTTGTATTTTATCATATATTTAATCAACACAGGTAGCCATTGAGTGCTTACCCTGTGCCAGTTCTAAAATGAACATGTGAGGGTCTTGATAACCCCAAACTCAGGCTTAGCCACCATTGCAACATGGAATATGGCAGTGTTGTGAAAAGAGGAGTCAGGGAGACATGGGCTCAGACTGCAGCTCCACGGCCTCCTTGACCTTGCTCAGCCTGGTTTCCTCACCTGTAAAGTGACCCTAATAATAGTACCTGTGCCATATTGTGTTTTGACAACTAAAAGACACATGTGTATATGTATACACTTAGTGGCACAGTGGCTGGTGTGTAGACAGCACTCAGAAGCATGGAGCCAGTGTTGGTCCATGGGTATTAATGGAAGTCTGAGCTCCAGGTTATTCAGGGGAAGACTGGGTATGATTCTGTCAGAACACACAAAGCACTAGTAATTACCTCTCAGGCTTAGGAATCCCATAGGTGTGCCTCGAGGTCACTGTGGTGTGGGACTTAGGATACTGCACCTTCAACCACAGCAGCTCTACTTTTATCTGCTTTACATAGATAGAAGGTGTGTGGGGGTGGCTGTATGCATGTCTCCCTTCAGTGCTTCTCAGCCCAGGGTGATCTTGCCTCTGAGGGGACATTTGACAATGTCTGGAGGCATTTCTGGTTGTCACAACCGGGGGTTGCGGGTGGAGATTGCTACTGATATTTAATGGGTTGAGGCCAGGAATGCTACTGAACACCCTACAGTGCATAGGACAGTGCCCACAACAAAGAATGACCCAACCCCAAACATCAGTAATGGCAGGGTTGGAGAAACCCTTGTGCATTTGCATATGTATTTGGAGGGGACAGGAGGATTCTGTTACGACTTATTTGGTTAAAAGTCTAGGAACAAAAATAGGAAACCAGGGTTATAGCGCATCTGGAAAGAAACACCTGGTTGCTGAGAGGTCCCTTAGGAATGGTGGGCCTTAGTCAGCTGAGCCCAAGGATGAAAGGAGAACAGTCTGCAGAGGGGAGCCCTCGTCCACATGGATGACATGTTACAGGGAGGTCAGTGTAGCCAATATGAAGCAGTTCTTTCTGAGGTTAGAGCTGCCCAGCTGGGGAGCAGACCATTGGAGAGGGGTAGACAGCCCACTATGGATGTGGGATCTGAACTGATTATATATCAGTAAAATGGTTGATGCTGAAAAACTGAATTTTAAAAATTCAAATTATGTTCAAGTCATACTCATTGGGTTGAGTGATCACATTACTATGTGGTCCTCAGCCTGGCATTGACTGAGAGAAGGGCACCTGAAGCTGGCCTTTCAGTGTGAGAGCATCATTGGAAAACTGACCTGCATGTTACCCAATCCACATATCACCTGAGGATTATTTTCCAGCTCAAGACCAAATTTAATATCGGTCTAATATTCATTTTCCTTATCATCAGGATTCGATTAGGTAACGTAAAGCCTCTGGTGAGAAATGGACCTTTAATATTCAGCTGAGTTGTTTTTTTTTATTGCTGTTTTTATAGATCAAAAACAGTTGAATATTAGCAATTTCATCTTTAAACCTGCTATAGGATTGAGTGACAGTTTGTAATTTACGAGCAGATTACTTTATGTTCTTCCTAAAGGAACTCCGTATAAATGCCACATCCCTATGCGAACTTCTGGGTAAACTCAGAGTCTAAAGCTAGGCTGTTACCATTGTCATCAACATCCAGCGCTCACCAGGAGCCAGGGCTAGGCCAGCATACCTATGATGGACCTTCGTCCACTGGACATAAGACAAGCTCCTGCATTTTTTTTTTTTTTTAATCCTCACCAGAGGATATGTTTTTTGTTGTTGTTGTTGTTTTATTTTAAAGAGGGAGGAAGGGGGGCCAGGGAGAGAGGGAGGGAAACATTGATGTGAGAGAGAAACATTGTTCAGTTGCCTCCCGTATGTTCCCCAACCAGGAATTGAACCCGCAACCTTTTGGTGTACAGGAAGACTCTCCAACTGACTGAGCCAACCTGCCAAGGCACAAGCTCCTGTATTTTAACAAAGCAGTGTTTCCCTGGGTGGAAACGGGCTTGTCCTTAGCTTTTGCATCTTCCTAGTAGCAAGAGAGATCCTTTTAAACCTGAAGACCTTCCAAAAAGACACCCCCTCTCCCCATCTCTTGACTGACTTTGTTCCTCAGCATCTAAAAAGGAACCAGATGTCAGTTAAATCTCGGTAAAGGTGCAGATTTTTTTTTTTTAAATGGAACCAGGAACCTTGAAGGCATTATGCTGAGTGAAATAAGCCAGATACAAAAGGATCAATCCTGTATTATTCCATTTTCTGTGAGGTACCTGGAATAGTCAAATTCCCAGAGACAGAAAGCAGAAGGGAAGAGGTGGCCAGCGGCTAGGGAGGGAAGAATGGGAGTTAGTGTTTAATGGGAACAGGGTTTTATGTGTGGATGATGTCGTGATGGTTTGCGTCACAGTGGGAATGTGCTTAATGCCACTGAACTGTACAAGTACAAATGGTAAGGTGGTAACTTCTATATTTCATGTATTTTGCTACAATAAAAAAGGAGCCCACTTGTCTATTGCCATATCCTAAAGCCACATCCAGCTCTGGTATCCACCTAAAAGGGGGTGGTGGGAAAATGCCTAACACTCCGTCTTTACATTGTCATCAAAGTTAAGTGACATTAGGACATGGTATCACCAACTTGGCTTCCAAAAGTATTGTCCCTTTGCCCTGGGACATCTTATAGATAACATGTGCTCCTATTAGGGTGACAGTGCCCCAGGGACTTTTGAGCTTGTGCTAAGCCTTACATTTGTTCTTAAAGGGATGAAATTGTTTGACTTTTTGGAACCAGGTGTCTCAGGAACAGAGAGTTCTGTGGTCAGGCATAGTAAGTATCTTCTGGCATGTTTTTGGTTTTTCAGGGCCACTGGGAAAGGGTCTCCACAGTCTCCAAAGAATGTGAAGATGCCCTACCCAGAGTCCTTCGTGAAGTACCGCTTGGCTGCCTTCTCCAGCCAGGAAACACCCAAGAAGAAAGCAGAGAAAGAGAAGAGCAACAAGGAAAAAGAAGGGGCGCTGGCTCAGTGGCCAGCCAGCCCACTTGGGGATGAAGCCCCAGAAAAGCATGTGGTGGACAAGCATGTCACGGAGAAGTATGTGGCCACAGGCGGGAAGGCCGAGAGCGGTGCAGGTAGGCCCTCCTTGCCAACACCACCCCAGCCTTGGCTTTCCCGGCCAGTTTGCCTTCTGACCCAATCCACGATCCATGTGGGAGTCTCGTGTTTGGGGAAGAAAGTGGGGAGGGGATTTTCCTTTAAATAGCTGCACATTGCCCCTCAGTCTCCTGAGAGTCCCCTGCTGCATCGGGCCAGCATCAGCATTTCCCACAGAACAACTCTTCTTTTAGTCCTATAAGCTGCTGTGATGGATGCAGCGAGTTTACCCAGATGGGCACAGCAATGGTGGCTGCTGTGGGACTTGGTGGTGACCCTGTCTCCTCCTCACCTTTCCACTGGCCTCCACTGTGAAATGCATTTGAGCCACAGCCGCCCATTGCAGTGACTCTGCTCAGTGGCTACTTGTGCCAGTCCTGTAGTATTTCCCATCCCCCACTGGATAGGGTCTTCTGTTTCCAAGTGGCAGCTGCCACGTGATTGTGCTCACTAGTTTATTCCCCTTGATCTTTTTTTCTGGTGCAGCCTCAGGGAAGCCCGTAGCAGGCACCACCAATGCAGGAGAGGCTGCGAAGATCCTGGCCGAAAAGAGACGCCAGGCCCGGCTGCAGAAGGAGCAGGAGAGGCTGGAGAAGATTGAGCAAGACAGGTATGGGGATGCTCGGAGTTTTGCCGCGATCTCACACAAAAGGCTGTGGTGGAAAGAGCAACTTGCCTTTCTTTCTAAAGTTTTGGAATTGATAAAGCCTTGGCGGAAGTATAGGTGTGCCTGGCACGTGTCCAGAAGACTGCGCCTTTTATTAGATGTCATTAATGGCAGTGGAACTTTGGTCTTTTCAGACGACCTGGAAACACATAGCTACTGGATCTAAATGTTACCAGCACTTCCCATTCTCCTCTTGGACTCTAGGACCAGCCAGGCCTTATAGAGTGACCAAAGGAGTTTGAGCTTTAGTTATAGAATGAAGTTCTCCCTGAACAGACAGGAGGTTCTAAATATAAGGGTTTTGATTCTACTTCCTGAATCATGTTTTCCCCCAAATTATCCTAACTTGCACCCCCAAGTGAGAGAGAGGCGGGTTGGGCAGAGGCCCCTGGGTGAGGTGGAAGCCGACGTGATAGTCCACGAGATACGAGGTATGGGGACTCCCATCCTGGAGCATAACATAAGACTAGACTGGTCCCTAAACTTTGGAGGGTACCCAGACCATCCCAGACATGCAGGGAAAACCCACAGGTACAGGCCCTGTCCTGCCTCAACAGCTCACTGAAGTTTGAGAACCACTGTGTTGCATTGTTCATACCGGACACTTGGTCAAAATATAGACAGACAGCCTGGCTTTTCTGATCTTTGTATTCAGAGAGGAATGCATGTGGAAGAGCAAGGTAGATTTTATCTCTAAATTGATAAAGGAAGCTTTTAGGATAATCAGAGTGCAATTCAACACTATTTAGAGAATTAACATGACAGGAAGCGGCTCTGCAAGACCGGCACTGAGTTGAGAATAATAAATAATAGAGTAGTATTCTCCATCCTGAAGTGACCTTGACAAGTCATTTGTGGTCTCTGATTACAGGTTTGCTGATTTATTTTTTGAAGGTGGTGGTGGT